GACTCAGCCTTCTTGTGTTCACTGTTTATTCTCTTGAAGTGAGAGAGGTTTCCAGCGCAACTGGATTGGCTTGATCTCCAGGCTGAGCACTCACCTGTTCTGGGAGGCTTTTTTTTCCGGGTGCGGCATCATGAACGGGCAGGATAATAAGGGCACGCCTTGGCACAAAATCTGTATCCTGGGCCAAGATGGATAAATGAGTCCGCACAGTCAGCTTTCCAAAGCCCAGAGGGCTCTATGCAAGTCTGTGCAAACCCCAACTGCACAGATGAGAACATACTATAACCCCACCGCCTTACCAACTGCAACCCCTCTGAGCTCAGCAGACTCTGCTCCAACCACATGTGCCGTGTCAGATGGAGAGCCGGCAGCTTGTCTTTCCAGGCAAGGATGCACATAATTGTTCAGAGAAAAACAAGTCATTATATTCTAATGCTCTGGTTCTCTTTGACCAGCTGCTGAAAACATAAAACCCAGGGCACCAACTCTGTCCTTTTGGTGGGGGGTAAGGAATGAAAAGGAGTTGTTGGGTGGTGCAAACAGTTAAGCCCTCAACTCTTAGCAGAAGGGTTGGAGGTTTGAAGCCACCCAGAGGCACTTTGGAAGCCAGGCCTAGTGATCTTCTTTTGAAAGGTCACAGGCTTGAAAATCCTATGCAGCAGTTCTACTCTGTACATATGGGGTCACCATGAGTTGGAATCAACTTGAAGGCAACTAACAACAACAAGGAATGAAAAAAGCTGCAACATATCAACATAAGCATATATTGGCTTTTCACAGATGGTTACTGCTTTCTCATCTCCTTCCAAAGAATTAAGTGTAAAAACTTCAAAGGAGTCTTGGAGTCTTTGCAATTTCACCGTGTTATATGAATGTTAGCTGTAAATGTGTACATTCCTAAAGGACACAACCAGTGTCACTATTGATCTAAAGATTAAATGCAATCCCTATCAAAATCCCAGCAGGTTTTTTTTTGGTAGAAGTTGACAAACTGATGCTAAAATTCATATGGAAATCGGAAGAGCTAGAATAGTCAAAACAATTATGAAAAAGAATAGGATAAAGTTGGAGGACTTAAACTACCTGATTTCAAAACTTACTAAAATGTAATCAAGACAGTGTGGTATTAGCACAGGATGGACACTTAGATCAATGGAACAGAAGAGAGAATCCAGAAATAAACCCACACGTTTATGGCCAATTGATCTTCAATAAACAGCCAAAGCAATTTAATGGGAAGGAATAGTCTTTTCAACAGATGTTGATGGGACAATTAAATATCCACATCTAATTAAACAGCTTAAGCCCTTACCTCACACCACATCCAAAAATTAACTCAAAATGAATCATAAATCTAAATATAAAAGGTAAAGGTATAAAACTTCCAGATAAAAACATAGAGAAAATCTTTCTGACCCTGGTTTAGGCAAAGATCTCTTAGATATTACACCAAAATCATGATCCATGAAAGAAAAAAACTGTGAAACTGGATGTTATCCAATTAAAACCTTTTCTCTTCAAAAGACATTATTGAGAAAATGGAAAGACATGCTACAGACTAGGAGAAAAATTGCAAACCATATATCTGAAAAAGGACTTATACCCAGAACATATAAAGAACTCTTACAGTTCAATAATAAGAGGTTGAACAACTCAATGGGCAAGATATCTCAACAGACACTTCACTAAAAGAAGACACACGAATGCCTAATAAGTACATGAAAAGATCTCAAACATTATTACTTATTAGCAAGATACAAACTAAAACCACAATGAAATGCTATTTCACACCCACTACAATGGTTATAATTAAAAAGATAATACCAACTGTTGAGGAGCATCTGGAGAAAGTGGAATTCTCATACATTGCTGGTGGGAATATAAAATGGTACATTAACTTTGGAAAACTCTTTGGTAGTTTCTTTAAAAAACTGAACACAAATTTACCATTCTACTCCTAGGTATCCAGCCAAGAGAAACGATAACATATGTACACACAAAGATTTACATGAAAATGGTCACAGTAGCACTATTCACAATAGCATAAAGGTGGAAACAACCCAAATGTCTATCAACTGATGAATGGATAAACACAATGTGATACATTTATATAAGGGAACACTACTAAGCAATAAAAAGGATACATGCAACAGCACGGATGAACCTTGTAAAATTATATTAATTGAAAGAAGGCAGTCACAAAGACTACTACTGTATAATTCCATTTATATGAAATTTCTAGGAAAAAAACCCTAAAGAGATAGAAAGCAGAACAGCAGTTGCCTGGGGCTGGGGGATGACTGTGAATGGGTAAACGAGGAAACTTTTTGGGGTGATAGAAATATTCTAAAACTGGAATGTGGTGACAGTTGCACAACTGTATAAATTTACTAAAAATTCATCAAACTGTACACTTACACTGGGTGAATTTAATGCTATGTAAACTGTACCTTGATAAAGAGACATTGGAAAAACAAAAAAAAAGATGGAAAACAAACAAACAAAAAAAGACGTGACCAGGAAGACAGGATGAATGTTTCTATCCACTGTCTAGTGGGGCATGCATACATTCATTCCTTTTTTGGAGTCAGGATTCCTTTGGGAAGCTATTGAAAACGTGGATTCTTTTCCCAGAGCAACATATCTTCACATATGTGGACAGACAGATACACGCATGCAATACTGTATTGTTAGTTCTATGAAGATTTCCACGTTTTCAAAGGGATTTAAAAAATAGTTTGCTAGTCATTATTTTCCCTGTCCCTGAGGATAACAATTGTTATTATTTTCCATTTCACATAAGGAGAAACTGAACCGGAGAGAGGTTAAGTGTAACTTGCCCAGGACCATATGAGAAGTTGAAAACCTGGACTACTGCCTTAATCTTTGCGTAGCTACTGGGAATGTCTCGCGGTAGTATTTTTGCTGCTCGTTTTAAACACACAATATTTAATTCTTCTCTGACCCTCTGAAATAGGGGACATCATTCTTCTTGTTTTATGGTGCTCACCCAGGCTCCGAGGACTCCCTGCACCAAGGTCAAGGTCCTACAGCTGTGTCAGGACTGTATCTTTGCATGCAAATTGGACTCTCTCGTACTAACACCACTGCACCACGTTGCTTCTCTTGTTTCAGAGAGAGAATAATAATCACCTACATAAATAATTCATGAACATGGCTGAAATGATTGAGAAGAGAACATTTAATTAACATATACCTTGGGTACTTTGCCCAATTTCAAGACAAAGCAAATAAAGGCAAAACGTAAATCTGAAACCATTCAAGATGGATTTCCGCATTTGGAATGAACCTCTTCTCCTCTGTGCTTCCATAGCTCTTTGCCTGTGTTACCACAGGTGTTTAATTTTGCTCTCTATGATCATCACTGGACCGTCTGCCCACCTCACTGTGCACCATAGAGTGGAAGAGGTGGGCTGTGGCACCAAGAGGGCCCAGGTTCAGAACTCTGACCTTGCAAATGGTGTGGCTTCGGGAGCTTTTCTTGACTTATTTCTTCATCTGTAAAAATTGGCATATGAAAAACTACCATGTAGGATTGCTATGAAAATTAAATAACTAAAGGTAAGTTGCTAACAAAGTACCTGATAGCAGTCAGTGCAGATGAGCTTTCTCCCTAGATTACCAATTCTCTTAAAAACATGGGCCACAACTGTATCTCTACAACTCCAGGATCTCTCCTTTCCACAAAGCAAATTCCACAGAAATGTCTGGTAAATGAATATGCAAACAGAAACCCTTATCAGAACACCTCCAAATCAATTAGCAACCATTCTTTGAATGACTGTGGTTGGCGGGGAGGGGGAGATGATGAACTTCTGCTCCCCAGCTAGGACGTCAGCATTCCTTGTTTCCAGGCACTGTGATAAGCACTTCACAAACCATCTTACCCTCTCAGGAACGCTTTGAGGTAGGTAATATGTCCATTTAACAGATGAGGAAATCAAAATTTAGGGAGCTCAAGAAACCACCCAAGATTACTCAACCAGCAAGGGATACAAGTGATCCGAACCCAGGTCTGTCCAAATCCAAAAACTGTGCTCGAAACCCCTGGGTCCTATAACCTTCCCAATGCTTAGCAGCTCAGTTAACCAGGGATGGCCCCAGCTGAAATCAGCCCTGGCAAAGCAGGTTGCCTATGACTTCATAGTATCATCTTTCAACTGATTGTTCTCTCTTACAAGGTAAGTAGGAAGTCTAGAATAGACTTTTTGTTCCCTTCTTTGGAGGGGGAAAATTTAGGCATGTTTTCATTTTTGTCTTTTATGTGAACTTTATTGAAGCATAACATACACCAAGAAAAATGCACAAATATTAGTGTACAGCTCTTGACAAATGGAACATATCGTGTAACTAGCACCCAAATCAAGAAAGAGAACATTATGTACACCTCGAAGCTCCCCCTTTACTCCTACAATGGCCTCTCCCAGTCACTATGCCCTCTAATCAGTATGCTGATTTCTAACCCACTATGCTACTTTTGCCTGTTTTCGAAGTTTACATAAGTAGAAACAAATAATGTCTGACTTCTTTCACTCAACATTTTGTGAGAATTATCCATGATGCTGTGTGTAGTTATACTCCATTAAAGCCACGATTGTATGGTATTCCTTTGCATAAATACACCACATTTTAATGGTCCATTCTACTCCTGATGACAATTGGGTAGTTTTTAAATTTTGGCTGTTTTGAATAATGTTGCTGTGAAAATCTCTGCCCATGCCTTCTGGGGAAATGATGTACCTGTTTCCGTTGTATATACACATAGACTAGAAGGGACAGGGCAAGGTCATAGGGTATGTGTACGTTCAGCTGCAGGGGCTGCTGCCGAACAGCTTCCAAAGTGGCTTTTGTCTTTTGTTCCGGTTTTAATCCGACAAGAATTTGAAGGCATTAAATACGAAGAATCAAATTAAGAGCTCTTTGCCAAATGGATTCCCAAAGTGTTTTTCTAACCTCTGTGAAGTGAATGATCTTTTATAAAAGGGTCTCTAAGTAAAAGCTTGGGAGTTTAATCCCATCAGGTGTTCATTATTCCAGGACCTCCAGAGTACTGCTGAGAGAGTTTAATCCCATCAGGTATTCATTACTCCAGGACCTCCAGAGTACTGCTGAGCGAGTTTAATCCCATCAGGTATTCATTACTCCAGGACCTCC